ATAAATAGGCAACTGTATAGTTACATAATCTTTGGAGTTAAAATGTTATCGAAATACTGAAAGTTCTTGGGCCGATATTCTATTGTATCTTTCAAGTTTACTCCTTTGTAGATGTTTAATCTCGCCGTAATTTCTCAGTTATTTACTCAAGTATTAATATATCGTAAACCTTTTTGGCAATAAACCGTTGGGACGGAAATCCTTTCGAACACATTTTTTTCTGACTGGTTTTCCGTCCGAGAGCATTACTTTCTTTAAATTGACTTCCTCGACTTGACTCAGTTGGGTCAAACACTGAACTCACTGAGCTCAGACTTCAAATGTTAACTGTTCTAATATCAGTTTAGCTCTGACTGTTGAACTGTCAATTTGGGCTCCGGCGTAATCGGGACGGAGTCCACAATATTTTTAAAGTTTTGATCACATTTTCCTAGTTAGAAAAGAATGTCAATTTACGGCATAGTTTTACTTATTCTTGTTATCCATGTTTTTTTTTTTTAATTTTATTATTATATCTCTGTATTTCTTCATCCGCTTTTTTATACCGGAAAGATCCGGAAAGGGTGGGCGAGTAACGAACGTCTAATTTTTTTTCCGCATTTCTTGACTCACGCACTCATATGACGAAGATAAACAGTCGAATATAAACATTTTGTGTATGAATTGTTTGTTTACTTCCCAGTTTTCTCAGAAACAATTAATACGCGTAAAGGGTGGTATATTTATTTTCCGCCCTTTTTACTCTAAGACGCCCATAACGCATTTTCACGTGGAAAGCCATAAACTCTTCGATATGAGAGAAAGGAAACCACATTGAAACCATACAACGATAAATATTTACACAGAGTCGAGCGTTTACAATTTTTCTTTGGAATAGGTTTTGAATCACTCGGGATTTGTATTTGTATATCCCTAGGTGGATTCTGAAACGGCTTTAAAATATTTAAAATAAGGAAGTCGTATAATCATTAAAGATACTAGTTAACTACTTGTTGCTCTGCACGTAGTGACTTCAGGTGGAATGAACGAGAAATTTTAAAAGTAGCACAACAGGCGTTGGAGCCCAGTGGAGAGTGAAGACCTTGGAGTTCACTAGGTAACAAAAGTTTTTTCCTAGCGAGTCACACGGTAGCTATATAGACTGAAGTCTTTCACACATTCAAATGGCAACGGCGACACGAATTCTAAAAAGAACAATAACAGCAGCAAAAGCAAAATTTAGTTTAGCCTACATTTCTAAGTAGCTACTTAAAAATAAATGATTGAAAGAGGCTTTCAAACACAAAGGTCACGGGAATAAAATTAATAACATGTTCGCCAAAGATAAAATTTCTAAAATTTCACCTTCTAAAAAAGCGTTTCAATGACATTCCTAAAAGCCTTCTCATCCCTTACCCTTAATTGCATCTACAGAGAATAAGTAATAATTGTACTTGTCACGCTACAGAAAGTAGATTTTTAAAAAAATCATTCAGGTTAGCCTTTTACTTGTAGCAAGTCTACCCAGCCGCCCGAGATGCTCTTTTGTTCGCAGAAATTTTGATCGCGGTTTTAAGTATTAGCGACTAACAAATTCACAACCAAGGTCGTTTTATAGAATGTTAGGATGCAACTGAAATACGACCGACCAATACTCTTTCATTTTGGTCTATATCTTACACGTGCGGGAAGACCAGCAAAAGCATAAGTTTGTTGGAATGAACGAACTTTAAACACACTTCGTGGACATGCCTTAAAATATGGATATTAAGACTGCATCTACTGCAGCACAATGATCGACTCTCCCATAACTTTTTGCACCCAAAGGTACCCACTCGCTCAGCGAGTGTTCTGTTAAAGTAATTTCACTTTCAATAAAGGCAATCCGTTTTGTAAACGGGAACAAGACTTGCTGGCATATATGTACTAGTTTACATAAGGAAAGACGTTAAAATCTTGGAGTTCATGAACAGTCCTTAACTGGAGAAACCACTCTTGACAGCAACACAAACAATTTTTTTACGCGGTAACTATGTAATACCAGATATGAGGTCAAACGGTGTGGTCTTATACCTGGGTGTGTATCAAGATAGGCAACAGAACAGAGGAGTAGCTGCAGAGATTGTTAATATCGGACCCCCTTGTTTGCACCTTTCGAACGAATATAACACATTAGGCACTTTCGTTTTCTGTTGACATGCAAATAAGTGGCCGGGTATTTTTAAATGTAGTTGAAATTATTTTGAAAACTTTGGCAGCTTTGTTTTTGTGGAAGATCCCCACCCATTTAGCGCCGTTTAAGAAGTGAAACATTCGAGTATTGTTTTTAAATAAAATGAAAATTGTTTGAGCATACCCGCTATTTTGGAAATGAAAATGAGATTGGCAACTCGTGTTTCAGCTAACTGAGGAAGTTACTTTTAAAAAACGTGTCAGTGATACCGTCGTGAGGATTTGCACATCCTGTTTAAAACATGGTACCAGTAAATAGGAGCACAGCAGGAAATTTCAACGGCGGCCGTCAGTAAAATCACTGAAAAACGAAATACATCTGGGTCCCTGGTCTGGGTCACGGCTTCGGAAAGGATTTTCCTGCTTGTGTTGACGTTCTATTTTTTTTTGCATTTTATTTTTAGTGTTAATTTTTAACGTTCTTTTAAGGGGCCGTTCTCCTCAATTTCGATCAACACTTTCGAAAATCCTATGATCGATTTTTAATGGCCCTATGGAAATAATGGCCAAATTCATATCTTTTTTTAAACTCACACCCTTTCCTGCGCAAGGAACTACCCATAAGTTGCTCACTAGGATTTTAGATATTGAACCATTTACTTTATCGATGTCTATGACAATCGGTTACGACTTCAAAAGTCCAAGCGACGTTCTTCACGTTCTCCCTTTGACCTATACTTTGGATCAAACTAATAAAACTGTCCCCAATATGACTGATATTAGCATTTCAGTTCTCCACACTCTTCTTGATACACTAGCAATAGTACTAATGAGGAGAAATTGTTTAACAATCAATTCTTTTCTTGCTTGGAGATCGATTCCATTACTTCAAGGGCCTTTAAAAGCAGTGTTGTTTAAGGAGAAATTAGATGCTGATCTCTCTTGACAGTTTAAAGTTCAAGCAACGGCTGAAAGCGATTTAAAGTAACGTTTAAGTTGCAATTGAATCTGCGATGCGGTTTGTTATTTTAGCTGTTGACCGACCGGAATCTTGAAACTCTAAGTGTTGTCACACGATACTCAGTATAAGCCTTCAGTACCGCAGTCAAGATTTTAACGATCCTGAGAAAGAGTAGAATCACTGAAAAAATATTTATTCTAAGTCACTAGTGGAGTGCATAAATCAGAGACCATTCTGATAAGGCAAAGTCTAAATAATGTCAATACAAAACTTAGCCAAACTTTGACAAAAAATTTACTGGATCAGAACTGGGCCCAGTCACGGATGCATCGAATTTCACTCAACAGGGTATAGTGCTTTCTCCTGTAAGCTCTACTTATAACATGAAAGAAGAAAGAAAGCTTGTCTGAGCAATCAAACAGGCTTCATAGCATAGTGGACGCCTTCCTTGAACTGAGATGAGAGTATGTAGTGTTTTGTATGGTTTGTATCCCGAATATTATCTGGTTTTAGTTTTCATGCAGGTTTGGGTGTTTTTTGGCCCGACACAAGATATAACGGGGTTTGATAATCGTGAATGGATTGTTTGCATGTGCTGAATTTCGAAAAAGAAATTTCTTTTAGATAAAAATAATGTTTGTAAATACTGATTTAAAAGTTTTATATTTTTAAAATGCGAGATACCCTATATTAAAGGAACGGAGCGAACCGCCTCTTGGCCATGCGAAACGTTGGCCTTAATACCACGTTGTTGTTCGCTCATATCATTGTCTTAATTTGTTCCGGTCGCTATTTGATTAAAAGAATATCATGTCAGTGTTGTTGTGGTCGAGTTTGAAACTCTACCCCGAGCAAACACGCCCTAAGATCACTTGTTATTGTTTTGGTTTTTCTTTTTTTTTTTTTGGCGGGCAAGCCTAGAATTTTTCATGGTGTCCCGTGGAAAGTCCCTCACTCTTTGTGTTCCGGTTTAGCTTGCTGACTTCGTTTAATTTCCTCTAGCGTAGAGTTTACCCTCCTCAGTTTCTTTTAGCTAGAGCACTAGTTCATCTACCCAAAAGACAGCTTTGTGGGTAAAGTAAAACGAAAAAGAAAGGAAAGGCCAGTGGTTGAAGTTAACGGTCTTCTATAAACACGCACACCCTTAATTTTTTATTTCCTTATTTGGTGGTAGTCGTGGCGTTTCCGGTCATACGAGGCCGCTCCCTTCCGAGACGATTTAGCATCGGGTTTAATATATTGAGGTTACTTGCAGTCAAGATTCAGGGTTACCGACATCGCCACATAATGGCTGTGTAAACGTTTTTTCTTGTTTATATATTTCGTGTCACTTAAAAGCGTTGAAACAAGGATTTGAATATTTTTTGGAATAGAAACTTTCAACAAGAATAAATTGTTGTGTCTCTTCCTTAGTCAAGAATTTGAATTTCGGAGTGGCCAGAATTAGAATAATCAACATTTTAAATCATTGATCCATGAAATATTGTTATTGTCACGCAAACGACCGCTTATTTATAATAGCGCTACGTCGTCGCTTCCGGTTGAGTGAATTTTGATTTAAGCGGAACCGTTTCCCCAGAGAGAGAAAAAATATATATTACTGAAGTTGAGATTATTTCTGTTTGTATATAACTTAGAGGAAGTTTAAAAGAACGAAACATTATGGTTGAATTGAGTGCCAGAGCTGAAGGACGAATTTATAGAATTTTTTTTAGCAAAACTTGGCAAAGTTTCGCAGGCACACGTGTCGATAATAATTGAACCTTCCTGTGATACTAATACCCATTATGCTTATTATCATAATATTAAACAAAACGTCAATCAAATCAACAAAAACGAGCATATAAATCGGAAGAGGCTGATGCCTAAGCTCATCTATTTCTGATTGACTCCACAAAACTGTGACCGGCTTCAGAAGGCACTGAAAATCTTCAAGCTCTTGGCTGTTTCGTGTTCATTGAAAACGTTCTGTCCAAAGTTCGTGCCTAAATCATTTAAGCAGCATAAAATAGCGTTTTTCTGAAGGCCGTTAGCCTTGTCTCTGAATCGGATATTTTATCTTAAATCATTTCTGAAAAACAAAGATGGAATTAGAAGATGGATGTCTTGGAGGTTTTTTGAACATTGCAGAATTGGAGAAGTATTTTATTCATGGTGAGTATTGTATCTTGTGTTAATTGAGTGTGATAAAAATTGCGCAAATTTATCTTTCAAGAAAACGCGTAGTATTGTTGAGATTTTCTTGTGCTCTTGCTATGTTTCTGACATGCCGAGCTTGTGTCTCAATTCAGAAGGTTTTTCTATTCAGTGTAGATGCTTTTCATCCTTCGAAAAAAAGGAGCAGGCGAACTGTTTTTGAAAAATAGTGAAAGAAATTTCGGTTTATTTGATCTGAAGCTCTTGAACGTAAAACGAAAAAGAGAAGAAGACAATGCAGAGGCCGATAGTGCAGAACCGCATTCACATGCGTGACTATTCTTTATTTTGATTCAAGTTTCCTGAGGGCTCCGAGGGAAAATTGAAAGCAGACATAAAAGAAACGGAGGCAATTGTTCAAAGAAAGAACTTTTTTCTACGATTTTATCGCTGTCCGCCGGCCCATTTAAGGTACTCACACCTCCGGTCTGTTGAAAAGCAACTGGTCAAATGTGTCGTGGGTGGCAGACTTGTATGTAACTTGACCTAACCACGGCGTAACGATGTCTTCAGCAAAGCCCCTTATTCACGACGTTCGTTTAATCCGTGGCATTTTATAGCTCAGGTTAAGTTCCTGCCTGGATTTTAAGTTGAGTAAGCCACTTTTATTTTCAATTTGTTGTCTAATTTTCAAACTGATTAGTCGGCACGTTGTCGATCTTGTCTTGAATCCATCGAACTCCTCGCCCACAAGAAAGCTGTGTTACCACTGAACGTTAGTTTGCTCCTTTTTTGGTAGTCCAAAGTACTACTTCCTGAGAAATTCGATACAAATTTCTCTCGCTGTTGGACATTTTGTGAATTATCCGTCGATGAACACTTTAAGTTTTTTTTTGTCGTTGTTTTGACTGCGCCTCCCACGGGCTGCACTGAGAAATTTTTTCGTACGAGACTTTTGGGTTTCTTTCTGCCTTCCGATTCCTCTGAAACGCCAATTTCAATCAGTGTTGGTAAATAATTAAAATTGAATGTTATTTTTCGCGTGATAACGGTTTCCTGGCGGACTGATTTTATTTTCTTAAGTCAAAACATTTGGGTTTATAGAAACTTGTTGTCGTTTGTCAGTCCGGATTGTCCATTTCCATTTACCGAAGGTTGAAGGGACGTGACCATAATCACTGCCTATTATAACGTCCTTGAGTGTGTAAATCGGGTTTTTTAACGTTAAGAAATAAACTTGCCTTCCAGCAATAATTGTGGTTCCGGCGAACTTTTGACTTTGGTTAAACTTCACGATCATCGTTTTTTTTAGCATTGCTTTCGTCGCCGTCAGCGACTGTAATAAAACTTCAATCTTGTTTCACTCCAGACGCGGTTGTTTCTTTTTCAGGTCAATGTAGTGATTAATTAATTTATAAAACACAAAAAACAAGAATGTAACGAAGTAGTAGAGTGATCATGTACATCCCCATCGAGTATAAGAGTGGTCAATAGTTGAACTAGAGCAGAATACAAGAAGACTGATGGAACTGGATTAAATCTTGAACATTTATTGCTTATCAAAAAACAGTAATATGTATTTCCAGGTCATACTTAAAACAAAATGTGAGAGATGAAGGAATCGACTGACACAAGGTTCTTAAAAGCTGTCGATAACGCAAAGGCGCCCATCTAACTAAATGGGAGAACTTTAACAGTACCAACTTAAAATGCCTTTTTCTTCTGTCAGTTAATTGAACAACTATACTTCTGCTATCAAAGAAAACGAAGAAATTAGAGCACTCGTGGCGTTGCGTCTTTAGTTTACAAACTTCAAGTTTCATTGCTGACCGAGCAGATTTTGTCTTAGTTTAGTATTGGTCCGTATTCCACAACATCCTGCTTCATACGTCATCTCCTCTGGGTGTATACTTCGTACTAGGTTCTGGTTTTTCTGAGAAAACTTTGCTTAATTGTTCCTTTTTTCTGTCTACAGAAAATACTTAATGTACTACAGTCACGTAAATCCTGAGTATATCCCGCCACATTTCCGGAGTCCTTAATCTTCAAATCTTTAATGGGCTTCGAGAAAATATGCGTCCGTTTAAAACTGAAAGATTTGACTCAGAGAAATGTTTAAAGCCTCACAATGCCTAATCTTATGGTCACTTTTCACTCTGAAGAAGACAGGATTCTTTACTTGTTTGCCTCACAGGCCAAAGAATCTCGCTAAGTCCGAGTCAAAGTAAAAGTAAGCTCAGCGTTGTAGTTTAATTTTTCAATAAAGTCAGGTAACATGTCGAAGCTTCCTAACAGGCGAATAGAATACTTAGTCCAATGGTATTTCCTACAGTCAAGTCACTTCAAAGTATCAGGACCACTGGCCCACTGTTTTCTTTGTACCGAAACTAATTCGCCTTATAGCCTTCGGTAGAAAAATAGGCGAAAAAGGATGCTTTCTGTAAACAGAGACGAATTTCGACGACCTTTCAACGTCACTATAACTTGCAGCTTGGACGCTCGTCGCCATAACTTGGGAAGCCCCGGGGGGTACCCCATATATATGCCATATAGGTGTGTGCCGCCCCAACGGGTATGGTTTTTGCGCCGTTTTTCCCTCGAAAACCATACCCGATTCAAGACCACTACGGGAGCGTATGAACGTATCACTCGTTTCAATTCCAAATGAGTAAGTAAGAAAGTGAAATGTGCGAATTGGAAATGGATTGTAAGAAATTTTTTTGTTACTGTTCTAATCTATGTAATGATGGCATGATTTCTTAGGGACCAGGTCTGAAAACGGGTGTGAAAAATGACATTGTTTGGTCTAAAATAGGGTTAGGATTTAAAGAACCGGGCGGCACACCCCCACCAAGACTTCCTAGGGGTAACCCCCGGGGGCGACGCCGAGCTACCAGTTCATCGCTACAGCAAACAGTTTTGTTGCAATATCGAGGTGTTAAAGCACAGCCACTAAAAAGGCGGCTAGAAAAGCTTTTTAGGTTTTGTTTTACTATGCATGTCCCTTCGGTATAAAAAAGATGGCAAATGGTCGTTCGAGAACATCATCGGAAGGCCAAGTCGCAGCTGAAGTTTTTAGCCCAGTGTTGAGTGCTTTCGAACGCGCTTTTCACATCTTGAGAGTCTTAAATCTTAGAGAAGGAGATGGATTGTGCACAGTTTTAACGAGTCGCCAACCGATTGTTGTACCGTTGTACTTATTACTTAAATATCACAAATTTGTGAGCGCCAGCGAAGCGTTAAGACAGCTACTTCTTGAGAATTTTTACACAGATGTAGCTGAAGAGAATGAGTTCCTGTTTTCTTTTGGTGTTATTTCCTTCGATGCTGCAGTGGAAACTGTTGAGTTATCAGACTGTGGTTTGATAAAATGCTGAAGGAAGATAGTATCGTTTCTCTGTTAAAGCGTTTAAGGGACATAGATACTTTTGTGTGCGGGTGCGTGGTGCAATTTTAGTTAGTTCTTGCTGTAATCCCAGCTTAACCCCTACAAACAACAAAGGTTACGGCCATAATAGGATCAGGGGCACCCAATTTTTGACGGATTTTTCCTATATACATTGAAAACGCTTTTTAGGATATGCTAGCTACTTTCAGATCCCCAAAAATGCAATCTAAGTGGCGCTATAAAATTTGTATCTGTTAATAAACAATCTTTATTTAAGTATCAGAAAAATAAGTAATATTTACAATCTTAAACTATTATTGTATTGTTTACAAATTAAAAACTAAATATATGTCCACGATAGAAAACTATTTACAATTGTGAATAATGTAAAAGTGGGAAAAGGAAAATTGAGCATTACTAAGAAAAAAACTATCAAAAATGTAGGCCCAAAATTATAAGTGCAGATTTAGACCAGCTACAGCGAAAGTGAAGTCTTCTGAATTTGTATCTGTTTGGTCATCCTTCGGCAACTTAACCGAACCTTTTCGAATTTGCAAGGCTTCAGTCATACGCGAAAAATTTAGATGCAATTTTAAAAGGTTTGAAACTGGTGAGAATTTTTCTATGATTCCTCTTTCCATCACATTTTCGAATCCGAAATTTTAAGGTTTCCTTTTTTCTACGAATAATAGCAAGTGAAAGTGGAGTGACATGTGAAAATTTCAACTTAAGAAAATCGTTGGCAATTTATTGAATGCCTTGAAAATCGTGCATGAACGGAACTGTCATCTAGAAATTTTCAGCTGTTCTCACTGTAGAAAATTCTAGGCAGTATTTGCTTCTTTGAACAGATCTTTTGCAGAAAACAGTCATTGGGTCTCCCCGAAGGATCTTTTCGCAGTAGGTTTCATTGCCTTATCTCACTAGACATGCACGTTTCGTCCACGGACTTAAATGTTGCCACTGTGAACGACAGTGGATAGAGAGAGTTGTGAACAAAACCACTCCGCAGAATATGCTGCTCGGTATGTTACATTTTTGTTCCCATAAAAATACTGTGTTAAAATAAAATAGTCAAAATGGCAAATGGACGCAGCCGACAGAGATAGGACCACATAAAGAAAACGGCCGAAGTAGTACTTAACATATAACAAGCAGAATTCTCGAAAATGGTAGACGCAACTCTTCAGTGGGATCATCAAAAGAATGAAAAGAACAGAAATTAGAACATGTAGATTTCAACTTTCCAGCAACAACAATTTGCCATCCGTCCCTTTCGAAATCAAATACTACATTGTAGCGCTTTGGACAATTATTGGATTTTAGCGCTATATAAATAAAATTATTATTATTATTATTATTATTATTATTATTATTATTATTATTATTATTATTATTATTATTATTAAGTTGTCGAAGTGTCGTATACAACTGATTTGGTAGAATTTTGTGTTGCTGCCTCAATCGAACCTGAAAATCAGTCACTATCGCGTTTTTCTACCATATAAAAAGATTCATAACCAATTTACCAGTATAAACAGTTACAGTTCTATTTGTAGGAAATAATAAAAAAAAATCAAAATAATAGTTGCGGCTAGTACTTTTTTCTGGAATCTGGAATCTCACTGAAAAATTACGGAAGATCGGTACTTTAACACGTGGTGAACTTGTCCTAGCTCCTAGCCTACGTGGCAATGAGACCTTTTCTTTCCATTTTTTGTTAATTTTTCCGATTTAAGTCCTGAAAGCCAACACCTGACTTAATTGATGCTATGGTCAAATTGCTAAAGGAAGGGTCATCCCGCGTTGTTCGTTTGAGCGCTGCCAAGAAGCGGAACTCTAACTCTGCACTTTTACCCTGGTCACCCCGCGGTGTAACTTTTGAATCAAGCATTCAGAATTTAAACCTTTGATGTTATATAACTGGTTAACTCCATTAAGCGCCGTAGATGGAAGCAAAATTACTAATAAACGGCACTCCCAGTCAGAAGAATCAGGCGTTTGTTTGAGGATTATAAGAAAAACCTCGGTACAACAGTTTGTAATCTTGTCGCCATTCAGACAATAACGATTCTATATCAGCAAAAAGCGAGACCTTGGGACTTTTAACATCTTTCTTTTTTACGTAATTTTTTAAAATGATTTATCCTAATTGCTCTCAGAGATTAAAGAAATGTCATGAATTTGAAGTAAACGTCGCCCTTGAGTAAAAACAATCAAAAACGCTAAAAGTACGCCGCGGCTTCTGCAAACATTTCTACACTTGAAACCTTACTCATCTCAAAGATTTAGTTTGAATATGAATTGAATAATGACCCTTCTGCCCTCTGCTAGCTAGGTGGTATAGTAGACGGTATTGCTTGATGATTCTCATTTCAGCTCTCGACACACGTCTTTTGGAACCGTAATTCGCACTGAGTGCACTTATGAGAGAGCTTTACAAAGTAGCACTTGTTACATTTATGACGCAAAATGCAAAAAAAAAAAAGAGCCAACCAAACAAACGAAAAGACCTCTATGAATTACTTTCAGTTTAATGATCGTAATGAATAACTACTGCTAGAAGTATGATTAGAGCTTTGTTCTTATGTAGACAATTAACAACACTCTAGAAGTAGACTGAATATTGCTGAGTAATATCCGAGAGGGTAGCTTATATTCACTGCTCGCCTCGTACAGGAATAGTGTTTACATCATAGATAGCAACAGACAAAGTATACTTTTCAATATCCGGTCAGGATACTTGCACTTTTCGAAAGAGAGTTCTAGGTGTAGTTTAAAACAGGAAATTCTATTGTTTTTTTTTTTCACGTAGAGTAATATAGTATCCAAAGTTTTCCTGACTTTACAATGAGTTTGAATAGGATATTTGGATTTTGTTTCTAATTTAAACATTTTCCTCTTGTGCTGACCTCTCTGAATCAGTGATACTGAGTACAAAGCATTCATTGAGTGGGACTTCCTGTTTTGTAAACGACAGCGTCAAGACCTGCGTATGACTAATGAACTTGATTTGATAGCGGTTATGTTCTCCCCCTTTTCTTCGTCAAGGAGAGTTCGAACGCTGATCCGGGTAATAGCATGTGTTCGGATATGTTCGCTACGACGAGACAGCCTCCGAGCGACTTCTCGGCGCGTCTCGGCCATGGGTAGCTGTGGTTGAGAGCAGAGCTACAATAGTTCTCTCTCCCACTCCCACTCCCACTCCGGTAGTTCTCGTTTTGCTCGATAGACCAACCTTGACTTCTACTAATTAAAAGTGAAAGCTGAACAAAGGATTTTATTATTCGAGTTTTGTAAGCTATATTGCGTGAAACTTTGGAAAGGTCATGGCGTGATAATGCTTGAGTGGAATAAAATCTTAAATTTTCAGTGTTAAACAACGAATTTGTTCAACTTAAACAACGAGTTGACCCCGGCTGGCTCTATGCGTCAATGAACAATCGACAGGAAGACTGCAGAATGATTTCCGCAGCATTTTGTATTTATTAGGCTATGCATGTTAACCCGGCCTGAAATCAGTTGCACTTTACTCGTGAACGTTAAGGTCGAGGGATGAAAGATCTCACTGAAGATGAAAATGGAGGTAACCTGCCGTGTAATTTAAAAATTGCTTCTGGGTTTTACTTGCTCGAAATTAAGAGAAAAGGGCGATTAGTCATTTTCTTAAAAGATGGGTCTAACTTTTAAAAAGCAAATAACAAAGCTAGATAATTTTATCCATGATCTTATCAACCAGTTCTAGATGTTACTTGATTTTATTGATTCTCACATAAAGTGAAAATAATTTTCTTTTTCACAGAAGGCCAGATTTCTCTTATACATTTCTCTGCCTTAAAAATTAAACAATCTTCGAAGAATAAATTTTATACCAATTGCTCCGTTGCTGGCACACTCGTGGAGATACGAGTAAATACTTTTACTTATGCTTTTTGTTGTACTGTATAAGCTGTCTGGCGAAGTAACGGACAGGGTTTACACTCTCTAAATGCCTGACCATTTCCAAGCCTCTTCTAACCTGAGAAGAAAAATTACAGGCCATTTCGATTCTCTATTCATCATCATCATCTTCCAGTTGATTTCAAGAGCGCGTTTATTTTTAAATTATTTTGAACTTGTAGGTGCCTATCATACAGATGTTAGCTATTGTTCAGTTGTATTACTTCTGCTGCATTCGCTCAACAGAAAACAGCTTGGATGGTTAAAGTTTTTCATCATTGCTTACATACATAAAGTTCTTCATTATCAGAGAAGCACTGTTTTATTAGAGATTCGTATACTTTTGTTGTTTTTTTGTATTCTACCCGCTCCGAGATTCTGTTTACTTGAAACGCCAGTGATTTTCCTCGCTTCAGTTCATTCTTAATTATGCGTAGTAAACTTTCCGCGTGTGTGATGACCTCTACCGGAAGTCTTTTCTGGGCGATTTGTCGTTCTTTAGATTTCTGTATCGTTATTCGCCTGTCTAACAGTTTATCTGCCTAGACAATTTGAAGAATGTGAAATCCTATTAGGTTAGTTTTTATTCTCATCATACTAATATTTCATTTAGCGACTGATTTTTCTTGTTCCTGTCTTCATAAATTGAGCACCGGAACTTGAATCATATCCGGTCAGAACGACTTCCTCTGAATCGTTCGAAGCAAACAACAATAAAACTTTTCTGTATAAACCAATCTTCATAAAATGCTTTCTAAGTGAACACTTGAACTCAAATTTTCTTTCAACTTGACAATATCTGGCCTTTTAAACAACGAAAACTCGATTGGATATTTAATTATCTCATTTCCAAAGAAAGCATTTTCTTGTCCTTCCTCTTCCGGTTCCATAAGCTTTCAAAACTTCCTGTCTTTCTCCTAGAAGACTGACCCTGTCAACAGTTCTTTCTCTCTTTGCAAAACACAAGTTTTTTTTCTCAATAGCTTTCCCCCACTAAACAACGCATGTTTCTAAAAGGTGATACTTTTTCTCATAATTTAATCTCGCTTATAACATAGTAGACGGTGTGTACTTAAGTGAGTGTGTCGCAAAGCAGTGCTAACAATGTTTTCTCGGCGTGGCGTTGTTATGACTTTTAGGTCCACGATTTCGGTTCATTAAGAATTTGCGACACGTGATTTGTAATGGTTGCAGACAAGTTTTTAAATTATCAATTTTCGTTGTACGCTTAAACGCTATTAATAGCGAAGAAAAAAACTAGCCAATTTTACAGTTTTTTGGTGTGTTTGTTTGTACATTTTATATTTCTGGCCTTATTGCTTTAAATTAGTCAGTCCATTTGAATAACGTATTCAAAACTTAACATTATTCTTAGGTTTCTTGAATTGATGCCTCGTGATGATTATTTGATTCGATGGGTGATAAATGTGGAAGGAAAATTCACTGACTAATGTAGTTTAATTAAGGATAAAGTGTCACTGAATGTTTTATGCTGCTATTCCTGTATTTTGACATTCACGCACGAGAAAACATCCTCCATTCATATAATAACAAATCAAACATGTACTTTGTATTCATAGATTGCGACCTGGATGCGTTTAGAGACATCAAGCCGTTCCAGCAACTGCCCAAGTCAAAGGATTGCGAAAGATACAGTGATTTACCTACGAACGGTTTCTTGAACTGGGCAGCATGTGCACCCCAGGCTATTCGCTACACCGACATGCCTCCTCTTCAGCGCGTACACTCAGCTCCAAGAGAGGAGGTGATGTTTTTCAACGTACAGAAATGCTACGAGAAAGTGCAATGCCGAAAGAATAAAAAGTCGAAACAACGTGTTCAGGGGGGTACAATCAACTTGAGAGTGACGACCGACCACCCGATAGCTAAAGTTGAAGTGTACGTGGAGAGACTGCCTAAAGCCGCGGTACTTTGTGGTGATAGTAATGGAAGAGTTCCCCTCAAGCTCAAAATGGAAAACCTTATGTATTCTGATGTAGGTATCAATTCTTTTGTCGTTAAGTTGTTACTTATGCTGATATAATATAGGCATGAGGGATTGTGCTTAGTTAGAACAGAGCAAAAACCCTTTAGTAATCTAAGAAGCGATAGACTACGAGTAGTCTAAAGAACCCACACCATAAGAATTAATTCACAGTGTCAAATGTTAGAGCCAAATTCAGAATGTACTCCTCCGATACAGACACAAATACTGAAAGTAACGCGGATAAATCTGAGATCGAACAACGTTAACGTTTCGGTGTCATGGTTAATTAGCCATTTTCAAAGTGTCAGGTCGATTAACTGAAATAGTTTGCTTTAACTTCCCCAATGTTCAATATTGTACAAACTTTACACTGTACAATTATTTACAAATTAAATCAGATTGACATTAATACTGCATAAGATACCACTCAGAAAGTGTCATTTCCTTTTCCCATGATAAGATTTTATTCGCAGACTTAGAAGCCAGAACAAAGTTAAACTGTATACGACATAGGAATAGCTTTCATTCTAATAATTACACTTTCAGACTTTCAACAAATTCTCAAAATTAGACCTGTCTTGTGCACCATAATCAGCGTATACAGTTTCGCTTTGAATGTTTTCATTTTGTTTTATCCTCAGGCTCAAAACTGGAGCCAACTTATTAGCGAAATAGAATGCTACTTCCGATGAAAGCTCTGCTTAATAGCTTTAATAGTCTAGGATTTTAGATTTTTCATGTGTTTAGAAACAGCATCTTAAAATTGCTTATGTTGTGATGTTGCTTGTGATGGTTTTCTTGTATTGTTTTGACGTGATTCAACTTGACATTCTTTTCTACGCTTTTTCTTTGCCCATAGAACTATCAAAGACAGGACCAGTACTTCTCAGTGGATCTCGACTCTGTGTATGATAACCCGATAACTGGTCTCCCTGTGTACAAACTTTCTACTGTGGACTCCGACAGGCGGAATCGTTTCTGGCTTGTAGCGTATGTCGTGTATGCTAACAGCCGCAGAAGTCAGCCATTCTACAGCGAACCATTTTTGCTCAAGAGCAAGAGAAGCTCCAAGTCTTCTCCTTATTGAAAGACATTTGTTGAAAGGCATTTATAAAAAGTATAAATTGTTTGGAAGGCAAACTGAAGGGCAACTTTTAAACGAAGGGAACGAACAGTGTGCTCGTTTTGCTAGTTCTTCGGTTACTCGCGTGAAAACATTTCAAACTACTGCTACTGTCAAGTTTAAGCACGTTTTGGCGCCAGAAAAAGGGAGATCACTTTGTATGGTTGCACTTGCACTCAAAAAATAATTTTGTTGCCAGTAATATGTTAGTTTGAGAAACTGGGCATCATCTTGGGCGCTGAGATCTCTTGGATCGTTTAATAATCCCAAAATCCTAAAGGTGATGTTACACGGGACGATTCGCAGCAATGTTGCAACATTGTTGCAACATTGTTTCGAATAGCTGTAACATTGTTCCAACACTTGCAACGCTGTCTTCCGCTAAAAATCGTCGTTGCAAATCGTCCCGTGTAACATCACCTTAATGGCCAAAAAAGGTGGTGCCCAGTCTCCTCAAACTTTCAAGACTGGCGAGCTGATATATATATATATATAATTACGTAAATTAGCTTCGCCGGCTCTCGAAATTTTTTCCCTTTGGTAAACTAGACAGAGAAAGAGACTAGTCGCAGTCTAAGAATCCGTAAAATAGCAAGGATTTATTTAGAAACTAGTAGCAATCCGAACTTAGGCCAAAGTAAGTAAAACACGCGCTATTCGCCACGTTAGAAACGAGAAGGAGAAAGTGGGCCGAGTTAACCAGCGCAAAGACTTCTGGGGTCGTTACTGGTGACGTGCCGGTCAGCTATTGGCCAATTTCTTTTCTCTGTCCCCAGAAACAGTCCCAATAGTCTTTTCGAAACTTAACACGGCCCAGCTTCCCTTTCATTTCTAAAGTGACGAATGACGTCAGAAAATAAGAAGTTGGATCTATGGAAAGCTTTGCCTTTGTTAAGCTTAATACAGTTTAAGGTTAACTTTCACTTCTACGAAGTGTTTTAAAAGGGAGGTCCAGGACAGGCAAGCGTTTAGTACAATAAATACTTGGATGCAGCCCTCCCTAAGACTGTAGACCGTTTGGGTCATTTTAAAGAGTGTTAAGTAAGCAGTATCTGTCTAATTCCTTGAGAAATATACTCAGTTTAAAGCAAAATATAAATGGAGCATCGTCACTCAATTTAGAAAATATACCTACAGTTGAATTTTACAACAATGAAAACAAAAAAACTCTACCAGTTTTCTTAAGACTTGGTCATCCACTGAAACCGCGTTACAGACTTAAAAAACGGGATTGGTACTTCGCAAGTTGACCATCACTTTCGTGTTCTTTCCCTGTGTACTTTGCTTCAAATTATTTGAGAGTAGTATAAGAGAAAATGTTCCTTCATAATATTACTTATAATAGTAATTATAATGAGAGTCTCAGAGACAATGCCCAGTTAATATCATTAACACAGAAAAACTTTTTTCCAGGATTACATAAATATATTTGTCGGGTAAAACAATCAAGGCTAAAGGATGTAAATAATTATTTTTCACACGTTTCCCTTTTGTAGTGTCGGTATGTACGAACGATTAGATATGCTAATATTTTCCTTTTTAGTTTTTTGCTTTTCTTTCTTTCTTTCTTTCTTTCTTTTTCCAGAAACCGGGTACTTTTAGGTATAAAAGTTTATGTGAATTATGTTAAATTCATGTTAAACTTAAACTTATACTTCGTAAAGATATGTTATGTAAAGATATGTAAAGATGACAACACTGTACAGATTTATTATTGTTTTTAATGTTCCAGTACCAAAGAAAACTGTGGTAGCTGCGGAATAAAATACATGAAAAAATTTATATGCATGTACGTACATTTCGGAGAAACAACAGAATAGCAGTGCTCTGTTTGTATGTTTGCGCTTCAATCGACCCCCTATCCCTCCTCGATCGCCTGAGGTGTCTTTGTGTCACATGAAGGCAAGACGGTGAGTGGGGGACTTGTTTCAATTATCTTATTTCATTTAAAAACAATTGGGAGCCACTGTGGAAGAGAAAGTATTCATTAAGTTCCTGGCAACGAAAAACGAGCAGTTGTTGTAATTGTCGTTGTTGTTTGTTTCTTTGTTTGTTTGTTATCTGTTTTGTTTTGTTTTTTAATCAACAACAATAACTGCAAAGAACCGCAAACGGATATTGGGACGTAGGATTTACAGGACATCTGATCAGCTAAACAATACCAAGTGCATTACTCTGAAACCCTGATTCTATACTACAACGCAACGGTTGTAGCCATGACAACTGTTTCCCGCCCTTTTCTGCCGAGACAAATCTCAACGGCTGTGTGGTATTTATTTTTGCGTACTGCGATCGATCAACTTTGTCGATTTATAATGTTCAATCACCAACGTTTCCAGGCATGTGAGTATTCTAATCTCGATTGGCTGATGGATGCAGAGTGTCATCTGATTACAATTTATGACGATCGATGAGGTAAATATGATGTCGGTAGCAGACATTCTTCAAGTACAGACAACAGTTGTCATTCGTCTACGTAGTATTTTCGTTGTCCTTGCTATATTTCAAGCCGTAGTGCAGCTCAGTTTCCACCCTTTTTTTCCAGCTCCATCGGAAAAACCCCGTCCCCGGGGCGTTTCCTTTGCTGTCCCTTTTTCTGGCGACATAGCCTGTTGCCCCCGAAATCCCTTTTCCCTCCTTCTCGAACGCCTGCCACGTAGGCTACTGGCGATATCCTGTACTACTGAATTCATTTAAGTGGATAAAGAATAAACTGGGGGATTTAAGCCAATCAGAAACGAAGAAAGAAATTGAATGAATGGTAACTAGCAATTATTGGATGAGGCTGACTATAATATGAAAAATCATGCACTGCCGTGGCCGATAACAGCCTCAGAAATCTGAATAATTCTTAACATTGTACAAAAACTGGATCCAATGATTGGTTTATTTCAGTAATTATTCATTCAAAATATTTCCCTCTTCAAAATGTGCTTACCTTGATCTATGCAAAGTTCTCATCTTCTTAAACTTGCCTGTTACGCGGCAGTTTCACTAGGAGGAGATGTTTACTCCAGCAGTTCATCAAAAGGCGATTACTAGAAATCGGCTCTTGATGCGCATTTATTCTTCAAACGATGATTATCTGTCGAGATAGTATCTTATTTTTGCTATATACTTTGGCAGTAGTGCGGCTATTTCATATTCGCAAGACGTATCAAATGTTCTGCCATCTCCAGTTTTGAATGAAAAATAACCGAGCTATCCTGCCTTCTCTGTTTCGGTCCATACGAAAATGAAGGAGTTTCCGATCAAAACAAGGTCAACGTCAGCCTCACGATGACTCAGCGACTAGGGTACTAAGCTCATGACATAACAGTGAAATGGTTCAATACCGTAAAGTGACTCCGTTTCAGGATATCAGCAAACATCTTCCAAATTTGGCAACGGTAGGTGGTTATGAAGAATTACCCAGGGGATTTAAGCCAATCAGAAACCGAGATATATTTTAAATGAATTAGTATATCGAGGACACAGTCAGTTATCCGCCAACAGAATACCTTAAAGATCAGGGGATAGCGCCCTTCAAGATTTACACAAGTCAGGGTCATAGGCCTGAGGCACAGCCCGGGGTGAATGAAATTATTAGGCTTATTTTTGTTCTAGCGCGGATTAATTCTCAAGAGATCCAGAAATGTGCGGAAGAAAAATGCATTGTTTTTCAACATTCCGCACTTGGATTGGTGGCATTTGCCAGGCTCCAAGCTGTTAATAAATTATGTTAATTTTTCAAAGTCGCAAGTGGAATTAGTTGTCAATTGTCAAGAATGACTACACCATCGGGTCAGATGACGTTAAAACTTCGTAGGAAGACAGAAAACAACTACACCCCCGCAGGTAAATTAATTGTACTTCACTGTCGCTTCACTTTCGCTTAATTGCTCCATTTTGGTGACTACTCGAGACTGAGACTCTGCATGAATCGAGAAAGATCATTGTTGAATGCGCGGCGTTAAGGTACATTTTCGAACCTAGGCCTAATTAATAGCCGTACGCTTGGTACAGCGGGCTCAATTATAACCTGAGTATCAGGCTTTTGTTTCTTCTTTCCCTTTTTTTTCTTGGAAATTACGAGGAAGAGAGAAAAGAAAGCCTCCCTTCTCACTCCTCCTCCAGCTAAGGTGGGCCTGATACTCAGCTTAGATCAATTATAATCATCGGTTTATCAATAAATGGATGCTCGCACTCAAAAAGCCAGTTTGATGAGAGAAAGCGAGATTGACTAGTCCAGAAGTTTGGGCTGCGGCGAATTAAAAGGCTTGACGCGGTTCAGGCACTCAGAGCCTCCTTTTCTCAGTCCTCGATCAAGAAGAAGACAAAAAGATCGCTCTGCTCGGGGGGTGACGGGTCTCATTTCTCAACTCTCATTGACCCCATGTTTGTTTAAATGCGTTTTAACCACATTTTCACGTTAGCGATGATGACCTGAGATCTATTTACAAGGCGGCAACTAATCAAGAAATAAATATTGTATATTCGTTTAGCGAAATAGCGCTGACAAAAACTTTAGGTCCAATTTAAAGGAGTTCGCTGCCTTAATATACGTGAAGAGTAAGATTTCATATTACTTTCGTCAATCGATCGGAACTTACGAGAATTTTCGGAATTTTCGACTGTGCGCAACCCCCACTGGAATCTTGAGTCCTGACCCTGCACCATGCATTCGCCGTAATTATAATCTAACTGGATGTGAGATTCCGGTCCTGTTCCATTCCCTCGTTCGTCACTAGCAAACGACAAACAACTCAACTTGCGGGGAAGTTAACCCTCGGACGTACAAGGGGGGATGCTACCCCCCCCCCCGACGTTTTTCTAAGGTTAGACCGTCAAATTGCAGCCCGTGACGTTTTCAGTAGCTGTTCTTTTTTCACTCACGCGAATTTTGAGACAATATTTGTGATAATCAGTTACTCTTGTTACAAGATATGACATCATAAGTAGCCGATGGTCAAGCCATTTTTGAGTGAAAATGAACTTCTCTCAACGATAAAAGTAAATCTTGGGAATGAAATGAAGCAAAGTACTTATTTATGTGTGTAATTTTACAAGTCAAGCAAAATCCAAGATGGCGACCATGTTTGGTGACGTCAGTCACGTCACAGGCCTCAAGCAGCGCCACCACCCATAAAATATACTCCATCTTGTAGAAAAGAACAAAGGCTTTCAACTGCAG